AGAGTGCTGCGCTAATGCAGAGATCCCCTGCTGCAGGAAGCTAACCAGAAATACTGACTGGAACACATATACGTCCAGTCGCACAAATAGCACACTACTGCACCTCATCACGCAACAACAATAGCTGGAGTAAATTCGGTGGAAACTGACTGGGATGAGGGGCTGTTTTACCGCCAGGCAAGCTCAGCATCAAAATCGATGCAGAATTTAGTGAGGGGGTGGGGTGAGGAGCAGCAGCTGGACAGCTGGCATGCTGCTCTGGACACACAGGGACAAAGGCAATGTCATAACCACAGCGACTAATCAGATGTCAGTGTAATTCTGGGCTGTGTGTGAATGTGTGTGTGTGTGGATGGCAAGCGCTGCACATGCTGGAAGCAAAGAGGACACTCCCAGCAGCAGTCTGAATGAGCTGCGTCAGCATCCACCCATATTGCAGCCAACGCCTCGCAGCCTCCTTCAAGCTTTGCTGCCAGTCTCTGTTCAAATGAGATATTAGCCTAGCATTTAGGCTATGCTAGCTCCTCTGCAGAAAACAGCACAACACAGCAGCAGCTTCTCATTATTCAGAAAATCTCTACCACCCACATCCTCACAATCATACAGATAAACACCGTTATCTTATGTTGTGTTGTGTTTTCTGTACCAATGGCCAGCAAGCTTACTGCAGAGTTATATGAACTTTTGTACAGCATCCAGCATTAGGAAGGCCTTATTGTGGTTTTTTGTTTGTTTGTTGGGGGGGGGGGTTTGTATTTATCTAATAACACAATCAAATAGGGTACCTGTAAATCTTCTCTGAAAATGTTTCTAACATTTACTTGATATGGATTCTTCTTTTATCAACCAATGACGATTCATCAGTTAATTCAAAACATTTTGTAAAATATAGCAAGCACACTGTATTTCTGTTACAGTACAACACTGATAAGCTTTACAGTAGCTACAGATACATCAAAGTTCATACAAATAACTACCAACAAAGGAAGCATTAACTGCTCGCATCTCAGCTTCGTAACATGCTTTGATGATATTATTCTACCATTCCAGGAGTACTCCCTCACGCCTTATGAGTTAAAGCTGCAGTAGGTAGACATCTGGAAAAGGCTAAGAACCACTTACATCAGACGATTATGTGCATATGCAGACAAATCAAATATACAAACGTAGTCGAGCTACAAGTCAACATTCACTTGTGAATTCCCACAGAATTCCAGCCTCTCTCCAAAGTAAAGGTCCTCCATGGCGCCACCATGTCCTTGCCCACCATGGACTTTGTAGCTCTTTATACTCTCTCAAATGATCTGGGTGAAAGGCCCTGTGAATGGCCGAAGTCTCCCTTCACAGGCTAGATTTTCTAAAGCCCGAAAACACAGCCAAGACGAGTGTAGCAGACTACTTTTCTCTCATACCGCCTGGATTACAATATGCTGAAAGGTTATTATGGAATTCTTGCCCAGTGATACCAAAAAAACCACTGCCTACCCCAGCTTTAAGTTGAATCTTTGTGATGCAGCTCACATATTAGCAAGATGTATATGTACCATCTTCATGATGACTGCTGGTAGAGAGGTATGAAGAAAAGTAGGGGAAAAAAAAGCCACGTAACACACTCATAAGGGTTCATCCTGGCCTGTTAAACAGACATCAATATAGTGCTCTGAAGAAATATTTTTAAAAGGTTTACTTTGCAGTATGTCTGTGTTTCCAAATTGTGGAATTGATTATTTTTAAACCCATTAACTCCTTTATGCTATTTTTACTGTGTATTGCCTGTCCAGCAAAAAGTAGTAAGACAGAGCTATAATCTAACAGGCCAAAGTGACCCAGACATTTTTCTCAGGAGTTCGTGAAAATCAAACCAGAGCTTGAAGTGATATTAATGTTGGACTTACATTTGTCAGGTGGCTCCAAATACAACTCCTGCGCAACCATCCTGTGTCTGCTAAGTAGGTAAGTTGACAGTTGTTTGTCTGCCTTTAGTATTTGACACAACAATAAGGTATTGTTGTGGTTTTAGTTTTTGGCTCTGTGGTGGTAAAACAAAACCACTTGGTTGTCATGTAATGATTTATTCAACCCTTATTCAAACTCACAATACACTGAAGTATGGAGGCTTTATTTACAATATAGATGAGTACTGATTGTAATGTCAGATCATAATTCTTATGAGGACAATGTATTTAAATATTAATAGACATTATTTGCATCCAGAGTTAGAATGCCTGTCGATTTTCAGTTATGTTGTCTGTGTAATGCTGTACTGTGTAGCAAGCATGCTTTCTTTTTTGAAAAAATTGCAAGTCATTCCATCCATTGCTGGGCAGTACTGACCATCCACCACATTCCCAGAGTCTTTGTGTATGCCAGCCCCTGTGTGGATGCCTGTGAAGCACCAGCCTCTGCACGCTGTCTGTGACTAAATATAGCAGCCCTGTCTCAGACTGAATGATGTCATCACTGAGCTGATGAGCTGCATAGCAATCGCCCACCAATGTGGTCTCTTTTTCAGAAAACCTGATTGATCAGAGCCAATCAGGTGAAAGGACTGCTGTGAGGCTGGGTACAGCTGTGTTGCAGTGTTTGTGTGACTGTAGGTGTGTATTTATGCGTCTGCGTGCCCGTGCCTTCACCTCTTCATTGCGGCTCCACCCTCTTCTCACTGACAGCTTGCGTGTCTTCATTTTTCACACTCACACTGGCAGAGGTATTACTCCACAAACACAGAAAAGCCTCTCATCACCGCTGTCTCTGGTGCATGCAACAACACACACCACAAAAGAGCATTAAAGCTCCTCAAATAAACACAGGTACATGTGGATGCTGAGGGGGTTTCTAAGACTGTAAGCCTTCGGGTTTTGCGGCTGTTCTTTCAATAGCACAGATTTGACGTGTCATCTTTGTCGGGACATATCTGGCCTCTGCTATTGTGGGCTAAAATTGCACATGCTGTGGTGTTAAGTGGAAGCTGCTGCGTTGTTGTTGAGGTTCACAAGTTGAAAGTTTTTTTTTATACAAACAGCTACATGAAACAACTAGAAAGTTTCCATGTCCTCGGGCCATATTTGAATGACCTGCACATTACTCACAACTGATACTACTGTTAACTGACCTATTTCTTGAAGTTTCAGATGTAATTTGAACAATTGCCAAAGCACTTACAGGCGGGCTGTTTGTTCATCTACACAGACCCTCTTGGCTGCACATTGTGACAGCACATAAAAGGTAAAAATGACCTAAAACACATTGTATTGAGCCAATTAATCTACAGTGAAACTACCAAAGAGCATTACAGATTTACCACATTGATGCTGCTTGACTCAATCGCCTCACGAGAAGACAAGCCCTTCTCCCGCTAATCCATAAAGCCCGTCTGCCTCTGGGTGATACCTTTTTGCTTTGTCTGTTTTGTCATTGCTCATAGTGATTGCTCTTCTCTTCCAAACAAATCATCATTCCTGCTGCCAAAAATACAAAATGCTTCACTTACTACTTGCCACAGGATTTCCCAATGGAAAGACCCACCTTAGAGCAAGTGTAAATAGCAAACCTTTTCAAATATGGCTACAGGATGAATCACCACTGTGCTATCTGTTATTTTGCTGTATTCATGATAGTAGAACAAGATGAAAATGTGGTGGATTCAAGTCGAAATTGGTTACAACCAAAAAAAAAAAAAAAAAAAACAGTGTGGATTGCATAATTTAGACAGCTGCCATAGAATTTACTGGACCAAAACATTAAATTAAATAAGTTAAACATATAGTATACAATTCCAAGTGTCTAAATGTACACCTACACCCTCGTAAAGCATTCACATAAACATATAATATGCATATAGATAACATTTAATGTTTATATGTACTGGATGGCTGACTCTAACATATAATCAAGTCTAAAGCTTGTTTTCAGTCAATGACAGTATTTTTTCAGGTTTCACTTTTTATCAGCCATCCCTTTCATGAAAGGGAAAAACCTGAGCACCTGGAGGATGGTTATTTACTTGGTGCCTGATATAAGCACTTGGCAGCAAGCACCACTAATGACAGAGACCGGAGAAACTGCTGAGGGATAGCATTTTTCCTCTCGTGTGTATCAAATAAAACATTACATCCGATAATTACGACTGGAAGTGGCTCTTGATCAGAACTTGCAGCCAGAGGACAGGGTGAGTGATGGGAAGGGCTTTTATTTGATACACAAAGTTGGGTTACGTTTTTATTTCCTTCCCCAAAAAGCAGGAAAGGGCTTAGGGGATTTGCATACAAATGAAGGGGCCTGTTTTGGCATGCACTGTTCTGTTTATCAGATTAAAACTATAGAAACCAAGGGGAGTGAATTTGCGTGTTTAGAATATCCAGTTTCTCTTTCACTGTGCCAGAAAGTCGGTGGGAGGTTGTGGGTAATGAGCAACGTCTCCCTAGGTAACACCAACAAGATACATTTCACCACCGACTTTCTCACAAAGATTCTATTGATGTCATTTCTGTGTTTGTTGTTTTGTGTCAGTAAAAACTGCTACATGTGATCCCATAATAAAGGAACCAATAACCACCTGAAGGACCTGGTCCAAAAGGAGTGATATGAACATGAAAGATGAAGCATGCTAATAGCACCTTCATCCTATGAGGAACATTTTCCTAACAGTTGTCAGGGAGGGTGTGTGTGTCGCTTTGTTCTTCAAAATGTAGAAAAAAATACTGGGTTTTATTATTGGTAGCTGCAGGATCTTTAAAAAACCACAAGGTAGCTTTGGTGTTTACACTCTGTAACCAGGCTGGGATCATTATAGCCCTAAACCAATACATCTGCACTGGGCCAAACCCAGCCACAACAGCAGCCTAAAAGGGCTGAAACCTCCAGCTGGCTTACTTACAACTAACAACTTCTTCAGCTTATTCATTTTAAATTGTTTCATCTTATATGCTATCTATAACTCCTATTTTCACTTTCAAACTGGTAGAAACAAAGAAAAAAATTAATGTTTCACAAAGGCAAACACATCAGCCTTGACTGAAAATAAGACTAAGTTGCCTGTGAACATGTAGCCTTTTTCCTTTGTATGAAGAAGCAGAATATTAATCATGCAGTGAATAAACACCTTAAGCTGTCACTAATTAGGAAAGGGGCCCCTCACCACATGAGAGATGCAGTTGTGCCGTAGGTTGAGTTCAGTCAAAGACTCCAGGCCCTGCAGGTTTTCCACTCTGGAGATGCTGTTTCCTGACAGGTTCAACACTTGTAGCTCGTGCAGGTGAGACATGTTTTCTATCCTGCAGATCTAGATGAAAGCACACAGAGACAAAGATAGAGCAACACAAAAATACATATGCAAATCAGCAATTTAGATAATTATATTCTACATATAGAGAGGCACAGAGGGAGGCAGGACTAACAGCAGTGTAACGCTCTGAAATTGAACACATTCAGTGCTCAGTCTTGCATGTACTAGCATTTAGGTTCACAGTGATCTAGAATTCTAGCCACACAAACAGCTTGCCTTGGATGGGCACGGAATCCTAAATTTCCAGACTATTACCAATGAACTATTCTGCTAAACATCTTAAATGTCGCCTTAAGCCACGACTTGTGTGACCTTCCTAACCATAGTAACAAACAAGCAGCTAAAGGGCCAGTCAATGGTGAAATCCTACCCTGCCTTCTCCACCTCTGTGTCTGGGAGAGAATACTTAGGGGCCCCTGTCAGACTGACATTTTAAATACGTCAGAAGAGTCCCCAGTGGCTGTTACAGTGAAGTGATGTGTTTGCTCTCGACAGTGCAAACTGGAGGAAAATGTAAAACGGGGTATCAGGAGTTCAAGGAGTCTGTCCAAACACAAAATCCAAAGAATACAACAGTTCAAATATTAAACAGATCAAATGAAATAGAAATTTAGGTGTGAATATTATAATGACATGTAGTCAAATATAAATGACGTCACTTCATTCAGTGCATCTGTTCTAAAAAGATCAATATGTTATTTTAGAAAACAGGTTCTACAAGTTTTTGGTCCTTGGTCTAGCACGTACTGCACTTCCAGATGGACTTATTTCAGGTTCACACTATGTGGCCAGTGTAACCAGTGCTACCTGGTGCTTCTGTCTGCTTCTTATTGGGACAGGAAGTGATACAGTATGTTAGGTGAGTAGGAAGTTCTTTTCTATGAAAGGCCAGAGAAGGCACTATGGCTCACTTACACTGGGTGATTTGTGGTAAGTAATTTTATTGCCACATGTCTTAGGAGTAGTTGGTTTTTATGGGGGCTGCAAGGTGGCTCGGTGGTTGGCATCGTTTCCTCGCAGCTAGAAAATCCCCGGTTCACATCCCGGTGAAGACACCTGGGATCTTTCTGCATGGAGTTTGCATGTTCTCCCCATGCAGCGTGGGTTCTCTCCGGGTTCTCCGGCTTCCTCCCACACAGTCCAAAAACATGTTGAGGTTAATTAGTGATTTTAAATTGTCCATAAGTGTCCTGTGTCTGTATTCTAAATCGTCCGTAGGTGTGAATGTGTATGTGCTTGGTTGTCTGACTCTAAGTGTAGCCCTGTGATAGACTGGTTACCTGTCCAGGGTGTCCCCTGCCTTCGCCCTGAGTCGGCTGGGATAGACTTCAGCCCCCCGCAACTCTAGTGAGGATTAAGCGCTGTATAGATAATGGATGGATGGTTTTTATGGAATTTTATGCAGGGTTTAAACAGTTGTTTGTCTTTAGAAATTACAGCATGGCCACACAGCTGTTTTTATGAAGACTTTGTTGCTGTACAAGAGATGTCTGTGTAGCAGTTATATAAGAACAATGCTGTTTAGGTTCATTGTGTTTTTAAATGATGCTGATTAAAATGATTTTGTCTGTTGTTTTACAGTAATTGCTCAGTGTGCTATACACTGTAACCTACTGTCCTTTTTGTTTTTTTGTTTGAAAGATTAGTTTGCTTTAGTTAGTCTGCCCGCCCTTGCATGGCATGTGAATTAAAAGACCTGTGACGGTGGACTGACTCCTTTTAATTCTGTTCTTTGTTTTGTTTTGACAATTCCTTTTTCTAATCCGCTGTGGGCATATTAATCGGCTTAAATCCTCTGAGTACTCAGAGTCGACCTGTGTGATGGTTGTATCCATGAGTGAATTTATTGTGGTGTTATTCAATATGCGGTGTGACAGTTTAGAGTGCAGTGATTGTGATTTGACACCCCTGGTTCTCTTGGGTTCTCAATTGCAATTAGAGTATTAGTGGAATATATAATAAGTCCCTTTTGGGATGAATAGGATTTTGGATCTTATGTCTGTTTTATATGCATAATTTGGTAATAAATGATAGTGCTTACACTAATACATTCCCTTGTCAGACCTATTTAATGTTTGGTTGTCTGTAGTGTGAGGCTTTACACTTGCAAGATTTTAAAAATAAAACAAAAACCTACCGGGAACTATTGCAGCAAGAGGAGTAATATGTGCTGTTCTTCTTGTTTTACTCAACACTCTGGCTGTAGTATTTTGTCCTAGTTGCATTTGATTTTTTTTTTTGTTTTTGTTTCTGGGAGTGCTGATAGAAGGTTACAATAGAAATAAAAGTACGCAGTAGTTTCTGAATATTAGCCAGAGAGAATAATGGATACATTTTCAAAAATGTTCATGAAATGTAGCCATGACAACGGGTGTTTCTCAGAGCCAAACATCAAGGACAGCCAAATGTAAATTGTTAAGCAGCATCTCTTCCTGGTACTTGACATTACTTGTTGTATATCTAACAGACAGTTTTAAAAACAACAAGATAATGTGGTTCAAACCAGCCAAAAAGCACATAAACAAAGTGCAAAATCTGCCATTTCTGCACTGCTGGTTCTGATTTTAAAAGTCATTTTGGCTCTAACAATCAGTACAAGTACAGAGAGGCAGTCAAAGTTCAGTTAATCATCAGTTGTGTATTGTATAATACACCAACAACACTAATAAATTATGAAATAATTCATAAATGTTAATATGGATTTCCAGTTCAAACAGAAGGAGTGTCTATGAACAATGTCCAGATAGTATGTTTACCTATACCGGTGGCAACACAGTGACACAAAATAAACCAAATGCACCAAGTCTGGTCGTCATCTGGTGATGGACACAACAGATTGAGATCATCATGCTGCATTCAAAGGCCTTTGCAATAACTGTGTGGAGCTGACTTGAATACCTTCAGTCATCACATGATCATACACTCACAAGATGCCTACAAGGCACCTGAAAGATTAGACAGGCAGTGCTGTGGCTGGAATGCTTTCTGGTTCAAAAATCAAGACCTAAAAATCATAAATGTAAGCCACTGAGAGGATAAAATACAACCGCATAGCCAGTAAGACATTCATGAATAAGTTAAAATGAACAAACAAACAAAAAAAAACTATCATCACTTTTTTCAAATTTAACATTGTCATGGACTCTGGGAATCCCTGACCTACACAGGACAAGTGCCTGTATATCAAACTCCAGTATGTCTGAGTAGGCGTTTTTGGATAACCTCATTTTAAAACATTGGAGAATCTTGTGTTACACACCACGAATTAGGTGCTTTCCAGTGGAGTTCGTCAGAATCCAGACCACGGTAAGGTGGTGCAACCACAAAAGGTGTTTGACCTTTGCTCTAGGAAGATTTCATCTTATCAAAATGGGACATGAATGTGAGAGTACACAGTATTTCAGTTGTGTGTATGATATAAGCAAAAATACTGTTTTAAAATGTAAAAAATTATTATTATTATTTCACATGTAGGACGGAAGCCAGGTCTTGTCTGGTGAGTTGGGACCAAGGGAGATTGTAACATTAGCTCTTGGCATGTTCAATGAAAAACTACAAAGACACTGACAGATAACCATGTGCCACAGGCATCATTAGTCACACCAAAACCTACAGGATTCTTGAGGGAAGGCCCAGTCCCTTTCACCATTTCCCAGAATGATACGCCTACCAAACATGACAGATTGAGTCAAACTTAATCATAATCATTATCGTGACTTGTAGGAGCGATACAATCTCTACGACAGACACGAGCTCAGCCAACTTCTCTAACTGGGCGATACTTTTTCTTCATTTCACAGACCCTGTAAGGCATTCTCAGCTCCTTCCTGTGAGCATTTAATCAAACTGCTCAAGTGGAAAACATCACTGCCACACTGAACAATTGGTTATTCAACAATGTCACGTCAACTTGTAACCCCGACACTTGGTCACTGAGGATGAATGCTGGTTGGATGCACACTCCCAAAGAGAATATCTCCCTTTGAATAGTTCCAGCAAACTGGAAGTGAAATAACATCCTGTAGCAGAAACAAATGGGTAAAGAGATAGGTTTGGAGTGATGTGAGCCTCTCTGCTCAAGGATGGGAGAAAGAAAGGACAACTGTGATATACGGCTCGTGCTCAAAGCATGCACACAGATGGAAGGAGGACAAGCAGCTGGTGTTCTATGGCCAAAAGTGACTAAACAGCAACCTGATTTTACTCACTTCATAGTCTTGTATCATCATTGTGCAGCAATTCAAATTGCATAGGGGTGGTCAGATCTCTGGTGAGTTTGGAAAATGTTGAATAAATGTGACTGAACAGCTATTTAAGTGCACAAAACAGGAGGTTTTTAGGTCAGTGATTGAAAGGACACCCGGCCTGCTGAGAATAATAGATTTATCATCTGCTCCACAACAAGCGTCTGCCAACAAATGACTACCTCAGAATGCAATGTGCTCTCATTACCAACAAGGACAGAACAAAGGAGTCTATTTGATAACTCATTCTAAAGTCACATATTCAACAGCAGCATCACAAGAACCGTTAAAACAAACTGTAGAGATGTAGCTAGGTAGCGCTGGTAGACAGTGCTCGAGGCAACAAAGCATCCGCTTTTAGGAAAAACAACATAACACTGGAGCAGTCATTGAATAGTAATTGGGATGCCTGCTCATGTAAAGAGCAGCCAACACCAAAAAGGGAGGGAGTCTTACCAGAGATCTGAAGTAGCTCTCTGAGGAGATGTGTAGGCGGCATCCTGGCAAAACACTAATTTGACCAAGGGAAGCCTTTCTATTCTATCTTCCTTTTCCAGGAGCTGTTGAAATCCTCATCAGACATCATGTGATTTCTCAGGTTTTAGTATGAGAGAGCCAGGCTCTATTCAGGAGGCTGAACAAACAGCCCCCAATAACAGATTTAGACACAAATTAATTGCAGATCACTATAATTTGCTACAGCCCAAAACTATTCCTGGTGCTGAAAACATAGAAACAGTTGTGCCTGTTGAATAAATTATGTTAAGGCCACTGAGGAAATGGATGTGGGAGTAGACCCTAGACAAGAGCTTGTGGGTTCGGATGGCTTTCGATTCTTTGTTCTCTAAGAGTGCTGGGAACTAAGACAAACGCTGAAGTTAAGTCCTTAAAAACACAGATCAGATTTCTTCTTTCAATAAGAAAGAATGCAAAATGAGAAAGAATGCTCGATATGACTTATTTGCTTATAATACAGTGAAGTTATAAAAAAAAAAAAAAAAGAGTTCATTTTTTTACAAGATGTTCGTGAGTAAAAGGCACATAGTTTGGCCACAATATCTGCCCTGAATATGTTTCATTTTATAAGCCAGACAACTATGATTTAGGGCTCAGAATGAGCATGAAGACATGAATTCTCATGCCTTGTCTCCTGCTGTCATGTCTGATTGGCTCTAAGCATTTATAAAGCTGCATCCCACATAGTAAACCACTAGTCATCTATAGTGGGTAGAAGAGGAAGAGATGATCAACTCCTGCTCAACTTTGCAGCCAAAAATCATGATCTATATTTACAGTAGTGGCAACTAAATAAACACAGCTAAATACACAAATGCCGTAGGTGGGAGGACAATAAAGGAACAGTACCTGATTGCCATGCAAATCCAGGATATTCAGTTTGGACAGGCTTTCCAGGCAGCAAATTTTCTGAATTCTGAGACATGCAAGGAAGAGGTGACATAGAATAAAAACATGAGATGTACATGAAGTATAATTTGTCGCAAAGTATCCTAACAATTAACAATACACAATTCTTCTTTAAAGGAAAATCATACAAAAAAACAGCTCTAACAGGTCCCAAACAGAAGACTGACAGCTGTGCCACAAACACAAAAAAATAACATACAATAGCAGACAGGGATGTACTGTTCACGACTGTCCATATCGATTTAGATCCACGTAAGGTTAAAAGGCTGTAGGCTTTTGAAAATGCCAGTAGATAAATCACTGGCATTCTTTTCTCTTTAGTAACTATACATGACCTCAGATATAGATCTAAAAAGACAAATGTCATGTTTCATTGAAACAAATGTCACAGTTCATTCATAAGGTCTTGATGTCATTCACAAAGTTGTGACGTGCATTTTCTATCTGCTGATCTTATAAAGGAAAAATGACACAGAGATGATTGTTTTTTAAATTTAACTGAGTTTAGAAAGCTCTCTTTTCTGAAGCCTACCATGAAGCAGCACTTTGTGAATAAAACATGTAAAACATAAAATGTAAACAGCACAATGTCTTCAACAACCAACATGCAACACTGATGCTTTATCGCTATTTTAATGCGCTACTTGTAAATATGAACAAATCTTCCTTTTTAAATTAAATTAAAACTACACATCTCCATTCATAGTGTTGAATGAAAGAAAATAAAGTATTTGTTTGCTTGTGAGACCTGTCATGACAACTAACCTGTTTTTTCCCAGCATGAGAATCCTGAGAGACTTTAGAACTTCAATGCCAGTCATATCAGAGATGTGATTATCATGCAAGTTCAGGAAAATAAGCTGCTGCAGATTTGACACATGCTGGATCCCTTTGATTTGATTGTGCTGGAGGTTAAGACGCTGCAGTTCTTCCATCATGTCTAGTTGGGGACATTCCTCCAGACAGCGCCTGGATATTTGAAAAGAAAAAAAAACAACACTGTGCAAGAAGCTTCATATGGATTATACAGTCCTGATTTTCACGAAATAACAAATGTGTGTCATCCTCACTCATTTAAATTTAAAGATTTATATGAATGATTTAGTGGTCCACTTTACACATTAATTGATCCATTTTAGCTTAGTCTGTCATTAGCAAGTTAATTCACTGTCTGCATAATTGTTCATTGGAGACATGGGGTTTGCATTTAAAGAGACTTTGCTGCTCCCTGGTGGCTGCTTGAAGCAGTAGCCATTTTGGCTGACAGTCTCATAACTCCTCCTGCAAATACTGTGAAGGTCAGACAGTTAATAAAACTCAGTGATGTAGGGATGACACAAGAATATTAAAAACTTTGGAAGCAAAGGTACACAGAACTGCTGAGAAATATGAAGTGTCAATCTTATGCCCAGTTTATGGTGACTTTCAGCAAAACTACAATGTTCTGTACTAGAACAGATACACTGCACATCTGTTACAAAATAAATAAAAGGAAAAAAGGATACCTGTCCAAGTCGATTTGCTGGAAATTAGATGATAAAGGCAACTGAGTGAAGAGAAAACCAGGTGCAGGGCTGCGATTATATCCCGCAGAACCAACTGACAGGGATATTACAAAATACATTCAGGATACACATATTATCCAAGAGAACTGCATGAAAATTAATGCCATAGAACTGCAGGGTAGAAATCATAAATTTGGAAATCAGCAATAAAATCCGTTTTTTAATTCCATAATAGTCACAGTGCCATATTTACCTCCTGACTTGGGAATTTTTAAGGCTTTGTGACAGTAAGTGGCTCCTGCACTGTGGGTTGGTCTCCTCAGCTTGTCTCTAGCTTCTTGTGCTGCATGTGTGTTGTCACTGATAAATGATGGCACTGGTGGTGTCTGGATGAGTCTTTTCTGGCTGGATGAATGTAGCCTGTTTTCTACAGATGATATTGGAACAGACTATTTACGTAGCATAGTCATTCACAAATGTACAATGTGAAGCTGAATCACACAAAATCCTTTGGGTGAGTGAATAAGTGGAGTGGGTCAAGCCTACCTGGGTTAGAATGATAAATTGTTTGGGTAGTATTCAAGGATGTTTCTTTGGCAAGGTCTTGAGAGTCAGTCTATAAAACAGGAAACATAACAAACAGTGAAAAAGCCTTGGAAACTGAAAACTAACAAGAGAGCTGTGTGTTGTTGTCATGACTCACCATCGTTTGTGCTCTCCCTACTGATTTGTCAGTTGTAAGGTGCAACTTACAGCTGTTGATCTGCAGAAATAGTTCACAAACAGTTTAAATAAGAGACAGGCAAATATTTTCAAACACGAACATGTAATTGAGCTTTCCTCTCTTCTGAGCTAGGAGATAAACTTTTGCTAGCTTATATACAGAATTATTTTAAAATGGTAAAAGTATTAAAAGTACTATTTACCGTGGGGGTGAGGAACTCCCAACTCTCGCCGACACTCGTGCTGTGTTTTTGAAAGCGCATGGCTTTGCCCTCAGTCAGCTCCCTCTCCATTTAGCTAACGTTTGCTAAATAAATGAACAGTTAAGGTCAGTGTTGGACGCTGAAAAAAAGCTCTATTTCAGTTTCTTTACCAAAGTCATGAGTTTTTAAATTAAATTCTCGCACTCACTTGCTACAGTATTGCTAACGCTTGGATTTGTTTCACCAAACTCGATGTTCATCTTTTCTTCGGCTACAAACTTCATCAGGGACCAGCAGTGTTGCCATGGCAACGACGTCGTTGCTTAGTTACATTCACTTCCCGTGCTACTAAAAAGCCCTCCGGAGGGAAACAAGTACTACAAGTGTCTCTTTCGATGAAGTTGGCCTTAATGTGGTTTGACTTTTACAAGCAAAAACATAGCGTTTTTATGTACTGGTTGATTTAAAGATTTTGGGATATTTGCTTCCATAACATGTCTTCTTTCTTAATAAATGTGTATTTTGGGCATAACCAAAATGCACATTGAGGTGTTTATTTTTTGGGGGGGTTTTTTACTGCACAAAATAGCCCATATTTAATAAGATAATACCTCATTTACATTTTTTAATATAAAACTTTAAAAAATAAATAAATAAATACAAAAACAATTGCTTTAATGTTAGCAATCAACTTAAACTTTAGTGGTGATATCTGTTAGTTAAAGCTTTTAGTGTTTTTTTTTTGTTTGTTTGTTTGTTTGTTTGTTTTAAATTTTAAAAAGTATAGAGTTTTACGAAACATACCTTTAAAGGAAATTTTCTAAGAATCTGTATTTTTTCCTACTCTGAGTCAGAAATCTATAATTGAGTAGCAATTACATACACCGCAATTACATACCATACTTCTGTCTGAAGGTTTTTATGAAGGGCTTTGTTAATATATCAGTCATAGCCTGATTTAAGTGAACATTTTATTCCCCAAATCATATTTTTCTGTAATTTATTCATGAGTGATAAAAAGAGATTTTCTAATTTCCTCTGTAAAACCCTTCAACTTTTAAACACCAACATGTTTTTTTAAAGATGGCTTTATCTAATTGAAGTTTCTGTTCTTGCAATTTAGGGTATTTTATATGTATAATACCTTATTTTCATATTTAAACATCTAATTTAAGTAAATGTTAGAATGCAGACATTGTTGCCTTATTGGAAGTGGTCAACTGGTGAACTGTCATATCTTTCCATGAGAAATTTTACCCTCTTTACCTGTAGTGTCTCTCCTTTATTAGTTAACAGCTAATACCACCCAGTATACTGGCATAGCCTTGTAGATGATGGTTATTATTTTTACTTTATACTGTGTTCCCATCAGCAAATAAACTTGTTTTCAGATAAATTGCTACTGAATAATTGATACACCTTAAGGGTAGTATCCTAGAATAGTCTCACTGGCTCTCTGCCATATTTAGTCAAGATGTATGGGCTACATCTGCCAAAGTATCTACATAATGTTCAGAGAGTAGGCAGAAGTAGGGTCAGTAGGGGTGCACAGGTCACTGTCAGGTTAGGCTGTCCATGTTTACAAAGCGTTAAGTCTAGTTTGCATTTAACATGACACAGAAGGTCGTTGTCAGATAACCAAGTCGAGGGTAAATTTCAGCCAATCATTCGTACCCTGCCAGAATACACCTACTTCAAAGAAACTCCTACAAAAAAAACCCAAAACACTGCTCTGACATATCAGTAGTTATATAAACACGTATGCAATGATCTGTCGCATTGACCTTTCAGACTCTCAACCTTTTTCAGCAATCTAACATTTGAAGAAAATTAGCAAGGCCTATAATGTATGAGCAAAAACCTGCTGTTAATACACCAATTAGTCGAACATTATGTTCAGAAAATCCACATCTGTGTCTAAATTGTGATAACGGCCCAATAATCAACAAGCCGGTAACAGCATAAACACTGGCAAAGTACTATATTTATAGCGATGCAAATTACACATAATAGTAGCGTATTGTATGCCTTTTTTTCCATTAATTCTAAACATGAATATAGACAAACACTTCAACACCACTAATTACGTGTACCTGCTCCTGTGAACACTGTGAAATAGTTTCTGGCTCCTGCTTTGATGTAATGTGGCAGAAAAAGCTTTTCTATAGTGACCACAAGAACATTGTCACAGTGGACAATTTGCTATTGTAAGAAAAGACAAAGGTACAACACTAACTTTTTTGTATTGTAAACATTTTGTCTGTTTGTGAATACTGTCGGGTACAAGCCACATGCAAGTTGTGTTAGTAACTGCGCATTTGCTTCTTTGATGAAGATGACCTGAAGGATGTAAAATGAATACCAGTGTCAGCTAACAATAGATTGTATCATAACGATGGATCTGATCCATTTGTCAGAATGCCACAAAAGTCAGTCATTTGCATTTCTGGAATTACTCAGAATGTTGATTCATCCCTGCTTTTAGCTTCCTGTACTCTGTGTTTTAAAATACATATGGAGCATCCTGGTTCATGCAAATGTAGGTTAGTTCAAAGATCTATGAGTTCTCAAAACATGCCAATACAGCATTACCCACACTATTACTACTGGTGAGTTGACATTAGGCAAAAAGCCGAGTACACACAATAAAGTCATCATAGACTGTTGTGTCCATCAAGGAGTTTCTGACGAACAGACCCCAGCATGTCAGAATGGGCACCTCCACATCCTCCACCATCGTCCCCAACACTGGTGTTCCTCAGGGCTGTGTCCTGAGTCCAGTCCTTTACACACTGTACACCCATGACTGTGTTGCCACCCACACCTCCAACGCCCTTATCAAATCTGCGGATGACACAACCATCGTGGGGTTGATTAGCAACAGCTACGAGGCACCATACAGGGAGGAGGTCCAGGCACTAGTGACCTGGTGCAGCGACAACCACCTCAACCTCCACACCACGAAAGACAAAAGAAGTCATCATTGACTTTCAGAAATCGGGGACCACATTGCACTCAGGTCTGAGCATCAATGGGGAAGAAGTGGAGCAGGTCACAAACTTTAAGACTGCACATTTCAGAGGATCTGGGCTGGACTGTGAACACCATCCACATTGTCAAAAAAAAGCCCAGCGGCGTCTCTTCTTTCTCAGAACGTTGAGGAGGAACAGACTCCCTCCACCTCGGCTGAAACACTTTTACCACTGCACAATAGAGAGTGGTGTGGCAGCTGCACAACATCAGAGAGGAAACAACTTCAGCGGGTCATCAAGACGGCTCAGTGACTCATTGGCTCTTCACTGCCACACCTAGAGGAGATCTACTTAAGTCGTCTCCTCCGACGGGTCACAAAGATCCGGAATGGCCCCGCCCACCCAGGATACTCTCTATTTACCACCCTCGTTGTATTTTTTGTACAGTGACAATAAAGCTTCTTCTTCTTCACTACACACATATGTATTGTAACTGTTTGTCAAGTCAAAACACCTATTTTGAGGAAGCGCTATTGTAAAGTGATGTCATATATATTATGTAGCTGTTAACTCTTTCCTCGAGTCATGAACGGCTACTTCTCTGACCCAGTTTTCGATGCTCTCTATTTGCTCCCAGGACAGTGTAACCCAGGTAACAGTCGGCTAGTAGAACGGCAGAACACCAAATGTGATCAGATGGGTTTTGTGGTGTATTTTCAGCCTTTTTTTAACTCTGGCACTAATAAGCGGTTGCTGAGAGAAGACAAGTCCAGATTCATCGAAGGGACATCCCACACACTGCCTGTCATAGTCTATTCATGAAGCAGAGGCTGACACATATGATGGGAGGTGGTCATCAACAGTTTGAGTGACAATCCATATTGAAAAAGCACAATGTAAATTCCAGCTGTATAGACAGATCTTTGTAGTTTTGTTTTTTATAGTTCATGTGGTTCCCAGAAGGAACACAGACACAGAGTCAGTGTTGCATTTGTTTCTTGTGTATCTTTCACCATTGTGTGTATTTCTTATTTGATCATTTCTCCGTTAATTTATCTAACATTGTCAGCCTCTGCCCTTGTTTATCATTGTAAGTTTGCTACTCAAACAGCATGAGTTACATTTAACACATTCAGACTGTAGCATCAAGGATCTCTAGACCAGAGACATGGATACATCCCTAAGTTGAAATCAAATGAATATATTTTCTATGTGAACTGCAAAAAATTTCCATCAAGTCTGCGTCTGATATAAAGTACAGCAACTGTAGTATATATTGATGGCTGTTGGAAAAACATGCTCAGTTTTTTTTTATTTTTTTCCTTTCTATAAAAAGGTAAGTATGATTATTGTAGCGGTATTGCTGGTTTGTTGACAGCAGCACAGCACGGTCCCTGACTTGAGTGATGGATAAAATGTAGACGCAGAAACAGGGACATTATTTGTAAACATGTTCGTAAGTTAAAGTAGGAAGAAGCAAAATGACTGTAACATAATTCTGCTGTTGGTTGCTGGCATGCGTGTGTGCTTGTATTACTCATGCTGTAGGGATATAAATCTGTTCATATAGCCACAGTGTGTGGGGATCTGTGTCCTTTATGGAGACAAAAAGCAGGTCCTTATAATTAAAATAGGTCAATTTTAGGATGTGGACTTCAGGGGAAGGGTTAGAGTACGGTGTATGCAAGCGGCTGTGGTTGGGGTTAAGGTAAGAGTCCAGCAAATGAATGCAAGTGAACGTAACGTGTTCTGAAGTGATGGAAACGCACACTCCAAGGAAGAGAGTGCAGTTTCATGTCAGTCAGTCCATTTTGGGTTGTTTTTTTTTTTTTCACTCACCAGAATTAAAAAGATTTATGCCATGTCACAGTCAGAGGCAAAGTAAATCATATGACAACTCGGGGTTAATGAGTTCAAGCTTCAATTATTTATTCATGTAAGAGTCTGTGAACAAGTAAGAGCAATCTGGATGGTTGCAATACTGGTTCCATTATCTTTTTTTAACATACAAACAGACTGTATGGTTCACAGTAACATGAAATATTTAATAACAAGGTCAATGTCAAAAAGATTGTGACAACATTTTACAGAACAGATGCAATCATCAGCAGAAAATAA